CAATTAAAATGACAAAGAAAATTATAACCTTAAATGCCCCAAGGTCCAACCCTTGTTTAAAGCCAGGAGGAATAGTCTGAGGAGGGCCACCATTCAAAATTTCATGCACCCATTCACCATTAGAAGCACCTTCTGGAAGAATTCTGTTTAAAGTTTGGGAGTTATCCAAACCTGCAGGACGAAAAGGGCGACTGTTGATGCTTCCCCTTACAAAGTCTTTAGCAGATCCAGAAGTCCGTGGTAATGACCCAGAGTCTTCATCTCCTACCATCAATTCTGACACATCCACCTAATAAAACAGAATTGGCAAAGTCAAACTAAGGCAGACAAACATCACTTAATAACAACTCAAAACATTTTCCCATATTTTTTAAATACACATGTCCAATGTTGACACAAATTTTGCTGCTTCATATCCTTTTGTCAATCAAAATGGATCATCCACACAAGAGCACCAATGTCATCCCGATGGGATAAATGGTGAAAAGAAAGAGAAACGATTTGGAAATTAAGAGTAAATTGTAACAACCATCCGTAAAGGTATTGCAAAGCAGATGATTACAACACATGTAGAAAGTACATAAGGTACCTCCTCAGATTTTGGCTCCCATTTTCCTTGCTCTGAAACATCGTTTTGGCGTCGAAATGGTGGTTCCCAAACAGGAACAACAACAGTCCGAGGCAAAGATGGCTCCAGAGGCACTTCAGCCCTGTCAAACCAGTCAAATTCCCATTGCCTCCCAACTTTCTCGGGTGAAAATTCATCAGGGTCCAATCCGGGGCTGAGATATGTCTCTTCAATATACTTCTTTATAGATTCAGGTGTCTCCTCCGGAAAAGCGGGTGGCTGAAATCAAACAGGAAAAATTACGACTGGGAAAAGAATACAGCTTTATCGTGCGTCTGGAGGCGGGAATTCAGTTCGTTTGAAGAATGGAAGTTGATGAAAAATAAAAATCAAAAGTGAAAAAGAAGAAACTATTCAGGAATTCAGCAACTGGGCTGCAAGCTTTTCCGCTTAGGCAATGCAACTTCTGTTCATCCAAATTAGTACAGAGACTATGAAACATTACTATACTGATTACAAATTAAAAGTAAACGTACACAGGAAAGAACCGACGCACAAGAAATTGCAAGCAAGGAAATTCTAAACTATGTTACATTTGGCACACTGCAACCGACATTATCATAGCACATGCACCCGAACGCAGACCATGGAGCTAAAAATGGAGTTAACTAGCAGAGAAGAGGATCGAAGTACAGCGATTGACCAGGATGAAATCAGGAAGCGAACTCAATGGGTTGGAACGCTCCACTGTCGACAGCGGCTCCACTCGGAGGTGTCCACTGTGACCGGTGAACCCGACCCGAAAACCAAGCTCCTGCCACGCTCCGATTGGATCCATTTTGATACTTTGCTTAGCACATCCCTCAGTGGTGTGATTCCAAGGAGGGTTTGATTTTCGCGGGTTGAAAGGGAGATGAAGGTATTTATACGCTAAATTGACTTGAAACACTTGAGCACTTCGCAGTGAAGGCTCCTTTTTCCTGGAGAGTTCTCCCTTTTGGCCCTGAACATGTGCATGAATGTACATTTTGAAGGGAAAATTTAATTAGTTGTCATTACATAGTTACCTTTGGGTTTGATCGTAAACATGAGAAATTAATTGGGAAAATCCTTCTGCATAAATAACTCAAATTCTTATTTAAATTATTAAATTTGTTAAAATCTTTATCAGGTCATATAACCTAAAAAAAAATTTTAAAATTTTATAAATCTAATACCATTTTCATTACCTCTTTCATTCAAAACTTAGAAAGACGAGAATTTTCTATCATTTCTGCGTTGGGTAAGAGCTCTTAAATGAGAGAAACTTGGTGTTTATTATTGTAAAGTCGACGACAGGAGATAATGGTGAGTTAGTTTTTATGTTAAATCTTTCTGCTTTAATCGTGCAAGTGTGTTAGAGAGATAAAAAGTTGTTAATTTAAAATTGAAATATGTTAATTATGAAATGGAACATATTAATTTTTAAGGTTGTATTATGATCAACTTTTATTTAAAGACTTGTTGCAAATCTTAACAAAAAGTTGTGAATTTCGAATTGAAATGCGTTAGTGGTGTAATGGAACATGTTAATTTTCAAGGTTGTATTGTGATCAATTTATATTCAAAGGCTTATTATAGGTGTTATAGAGACAGAAAGTTATAAACTTATAATTGAAATGTGTTGGAACATGTTAATTTTCAAGGTTATATTATGATTAAGTTTTATTCAAAAACTTTTTATAAATATATTTTGGAGATATAAAGCTGCTAATTTATAATTGAAACTTATTAACTGTTAAGGGGTGGAAACAAGCCAAGCAGTTTTTATGGGTCTATGGCTTGGCCTGCATTTGGCCTGACTTCGCCTTGGCTGTTTTAAAAAAGAAAAAGGCCCAGGCCTGTTTAGCTTAACAGGTTAAGCCTAGACTCTCTGAAATACCTGTTAAGCTTGTTAGACCGGTTTAGACCTGTTATAAATTTAAAATTACAATATTATGAAACAATTAATTAATGCTATTATGTTTAATGTGCTCTTTTGATTTATTTTTTTAATACCTTAATGCTTTCTTGAATTTTGAAATTCAGTTGACAAGTGAAGATGAGGATATAATTTAAAATAATAATGTTAATAAATAATGTGATCTTTAAATTTTAAAAATGTAGATAAAATAGCAATGAAAAATTTTGTTCTAAAAAGATAGTTAAAATGAAGGGAAATAAGTAATCAAATAATTAACTTATGTGTTATGTTAATTGAAATATGATATCCCCTATATTAATTGTAAAATTAATAATTTTTCTCTTTATTTATTTGTCTTAATTTTACTTAGACCTAGACTTATTCCAAATTTTAATGGACAATTATAACTAGTTCTCAACAATATTTTTATTAACTATATTAAGATTTAAAATAGTACCTATGACATTGAAATTTAAATAAAAGACAAGACTTAAAAAAATAATTATTTTGTAGTATGTATGTTTTGCTTCTTCACTAGTATGTGCATTTTTTATTATGTAATTTGAAGCTTTTAAAAATATAGGTTTTCGAATAGGCTTTAGGTTAAGCCAAACCTTTATACAAATCAGGCTTTGGCTGAAAAACAAACTTGTAACATGTCACAGGCCAAGCTCAGATCAACTTGCTGCAAAACAGGCCTAACCTATTTTCATCCTTATTAATCGCATGATTGAATTTATTAAAGATTGTATTATGATTAAGTTTTATTTAAAAGCTTATTATAAGTGTGTTATGGTTATAATGTAGTTTCAATTATTTTTAAATAACTGTTCGTACTTATATTTATCACTCTTAAACATTTTCTCAAATAAAAGCATTAGCGATGTGCTTATTAGATGTTAATTTTCTTTAAATTAGTATAAGATCTTAACTTAGTCTTTTATTCATCTTTTTTTTTTTTTGCCATGGAACTTGGTCTTTTTAACTTTATACAGTATTTCTTCGATCCTCCAGTCTTAATATTATTAATATTAAATGATGTTTTAATCATTGTTATTTAAAAAAAGCTTAATATGTTTAATATTTAAAATTTCAATTTCAATTTTTTTGTTAATAATAGGTAACTATTAGAACTTTTTTGGAAAAATTCCTTAAAAAGGTACTTAAAGAAATGAAATTATTATTTAGGTCATTGAATTTGTTAAAGCCCTAATTAACCCAAAGAAAGATTTTAAAATTTTATTAAATGACTCTAATGCCTCCTTTATTAACTCAAACACATTTTAATTCTAAATCAACAACCTTCTATCTCCATAAGTCTTTAAGTAAAATTTGATTATAATATAATACGTGTTTTTTTTTTTTGCCAAAATATAATACGTGTTGAAAATTAACAAGTTTTATTATGCAGTTAATAAATTCTAGTTCTAAATTAATATAGGTTTATGTTTTCATAGTACACTTGCAATAAAACTTGATCATAATATAACCTTGAAAATTAACATGTTTCATTTTACAGTTAACACGTTTCAATTATAAATTAATAACTTTATGTCTTCATAACATACTTACAATAACTCTTTGAAGAAAACTTGATCACAATATAATCTTAAAAATTAACAAGTTCATTTACGCAGTTAACACATTTTAATTATAAATTAATAACTTTTAATTCATAATTCACAAGTCTCCAATTCCATATACAACTTGAAGCTAGGTTTTAACATTTCACTTAGTTGTTAGCAAAAAAAGTGACCCACATAACAGAATCTACTTTCTAATTTTAACAGTTACAAATCATGTTTTAACACATTTCATTTAGCTATTAACAACCCACGTAGCCCTCATAGTATTTTTCATGGCTTTTTTATCCATATATTTTAAACAGTAAAAGAAATGATTCAAATGCTGCATTTTAGAAAATATTTACTCAAATACTGCATTTAAAATCGTTCAAGGTTAGAACGAGTTCAAGGGGATGTTTAGGTAGAAACAAAACTATAGTTTTAAAAGTGCTTTTACGGGAAAAACCACGTTTTGATCAAGCTTATTTCTGAGAGAATGAGCGAGAGAGCGAGGGGGCTGAACGGCGGTGAGCGAGAGAATGGGGACAGAGAGGGAGGAGGGAGAACTGAGAGTGGTGACATAGGTGGAGGACGTGAACGTGACAAGCTGAATCTGCAAGAGGAAGGGCCTATGGACTTTGTCTTTGGAATTGGGGGTGAACGAAATAAGGTGGCCGAAGGGCTGAAGGAGAAGACTCCTGTATATGAAAACCGTAGAACCCTTCCTTTGTCTTATAAGGAAAAGCTTCTATCATTAGGATGCGGAGGCTTCTTGGTCAAACATGATGAATCTGAGGATATAGTTAATGGTTGGAAATCCTTTTTCGCTAAAAAGAACAAGGAAGGAGCATCTCTGGACTAGGAAGTGTCAGAGGGAGTGGAGACAGAGGGGACCACCATTAAACCCAGGTATCCTGTTCTAAAGATGACGGCTGAGCAGTACACGACGTGGTGTCAACCGTGGATGAATTCTCTGATAATTAAAGTTCTGGAGACTCATGTTCAGCGGCATATACTCATTGACAGAGTTCACAGGATGTGGAAATCGAAGGTCAACCCAATGAAGGTGACCCCTCTTAGCAACGATTACTACATCATCTCCTTCACTAGTAGGGAAGACCGAGACTATGCTTTTCATGAAGGACCCTGGATGATAGATGACCATTACTTATTAGTGCAACGCTGGTGCCCTAACTTTAACCCATGGAAAGCAGATAATCAAAGGAAGATTACGGCGTGGATTCGTATCCCAGACTTGCCAATGGAATTCTATAACGTTGAATCTCTTGGAATGATTGGGAACATGGTGGGCAGAACGATTAAAATAGACCGATCGACCTCAATCTATGATAAGGGAGGTTTTGCGCGCTTATGCGTAGAGATTGACTTGCAACAACCGTTACCCACGGCGTTCACGGCCTTCGGTGAGGATCGACAAATCGTCTATGAAGGGCTTCACATGGTTTGCTTCCATTGTGGAAGATACGGACATCAGAAGCACGCGTGCTGATATAAGGAACGAATACGGATCGGCTAGAAACAAGTTAGGAAACTAGACGAACGATCGAAGGTAGGACCTTAAGAGAACCTGTCTCTTACAACCCTAGCCATGGAGACATCACAAGGATGATCAGTCCTTGATACAGTCGAGCATTCCCACGAGAATACGAGGCAGCAAGCAAAGCTCACTCAAGAGAAATAAAATTCTCTAAAATTCATTCATTCAAATCTGATCCCCAATTACAAAAAACGTAGCCTTATATAGGCAGCAAAAGAACAATCTAGAATCAAAAAACCCTAGGTCATAAATGCCATAAATGTGCCTTAATGATGATTGACTATCTTGGTTGGCACCTATTAAGGCTCAAGGAAATAGGAAATTACCTTTTCTTGAAGAAAAAGGCTGCTACCTAAAAATAGGAAACTAACCTAAAATATTCTTATGCAATCTTTGACCAAAAGGCCTTATTTAATGCAAATAAAAATGGAAACTTAAAAAAACGAAATTAAACCATAACTAATACATAAAGACGCCTTCTTGATGCTTCTTGGACTTCCAAATAGATCTTCATAATTGCTATTCACGTCCATAAGCATGTATGGGCCTTTAAGACACCCATTTGGGCTTGAATATGGTTGAATCACGTTCTGGAACTCCCATGGTCCATAACACAATGCATTTGGGCCCCAATTTAAAAGATTATAGCTCTAATGGACTCCTCCGGGCACATAAGAATTGGCTTCAAATGCTCCTTTTGGGCTCTTAGAACACATGTTCTTGTCTTTCTCAAGGTCCAAGTATTTATACTCCAACGACTCATATGCCATGGTGGCTTTCGGGGTGGCCTTCCATATGTCACATTAAGCTCCGCACGTGTCCATGTCATCATCCAAGGAATGATCCATGTCCTCCTCCATGTAAGCATTCCTGATTACTCTGGAGGGCTTGTTGGGACTCTAATTGGATGAGTACTACTTCGGCTTCATGACCTCCATATTGTATGCTATCACGTGCCCTTTGATCACCTTGAATACATCTCAGGATCAAGACACGATGAACCAGAACCAGCATGTGGGTCCTGCTGAAACTGACAAAACCCAGAATCCGGTGATGGATCACATGCCGACGATGGTCGACGTACACTTAGGACCCCAGATGCTTGTAAGGCGAGATTTTCGCAGAGTTAATGCCAGTATGGAAAAGAAGGGATTGAATATCCCTAACAGTGCGGAGAAGAAGGTTTCGGGCACCGAAAGTAATGGCACGGAAAAGATAGAAACAGATACTAGGAATAATAATCGGGATCATCATCGGATCAAGAGCAAGGAGTCTGTTAAGAGGGTGTATCAACCGGTAGGATCACATAGGGATCTGGTTGAGAAAACTGTGGTGCCTATCATGAGAGAGTCAAACTTTGGGATTGAGATCTCAAATAATAATAGCACGTGGACCACGATTGGCTCTAAAAGGAAAATAATAGACAAAAGTAAACTTCGTGGGAAAGAAAACAGATCCAAAAAAGGAAAAGGAAAAGTCAAAGAAGCAAAGGGGAACATGAAGGGTCAAATATCTGTTTATAACCCCTTCTCGTCTCTTCAAGGTGGGCCTTCTATAGCAGAAACAAGTGAACAGTCCAATAAAATGGGCCCAACCGTGAATAGGTTTGGGTCAATGGGGATGGATATCTCCTAACATCCTGACGATTTGGGTTCAGCTCAACCCACAATGGTTGAAAGCAAAAACATGAGGGTGGGCACTGACTTTCAAGAGGTGAGTACAGCAGACATGCAACGAGATAGAGACACTACGGACACAGAGAACCAGAACAATATGGATATTGCTCAGGTGGGAAGCATTGAATCACCACCAAATCCTTGTCTAGTTTCCCCATGAATTACATGATTTGGAATTCAAGAGGTACAGGCTCGAAGACATTTCCTAGCCTGATACAAGAGATCAAAAAGCAGTATCATCTGGACCTTCTTGCTCTAGTAGAGACACGGTCTGATAAGCAAAAAACAGAACGCAAGATTGGTAAACTGGGCTTTCAAGATTATACCTATATTGATGCTGAAGGATATAGGGGTGGAATATGGTGTCTCTGGAATACGGGGGTTCGTAAGGTTGAAATAGTGGAAAGACACCAACAGTTCATTCATTTTAAAATTATGAATAGCAGACATGAAACATGGTTTATGACCATTGTATATGCTAACCCACACATGGTAGGGAGACGTTCATTGTGGACCGAACTGAGACGAATAAACAGCACCATGTATGACCCTTGGATACTCAGGGGTGACTTTAATGCAACACTTTTTGAGATGGAAAGGCGCTCAAATGCTACTCATAGTATTGCAATAGACCGTGATTTTTATAGCTGGTTTTAGGAGGCGAACGTTCAAAGTCTGGGATTTGTGGGACCGAGATTCACGTGGAAAAGGGGCCTGATGGAAGTTGTGTTGGACCGTTTTCTTGCCAATAATGACTGGGGCATGAAATTTCCTCATGCACGAGTCTTGCATCTCCCCTTCTACAAATCAGATCACTGACCCATTCTCCTTCAACTTGACCGTGAGGAGGAGAAACCCCAACGACCTTTCCGTTTCATAGCTTCCTGGGTACTACATGAGAACTTCGATGACTTTGTTCAAGAAAAGTGGAACGAGGGACTGAGTTGGAATCAAAATATAGAACAATTCACTGTCGCATGTAGATCTTGGAATAAGAATGTTTTCGGTCATATTGAAAGCAGAAAACACAAACTCATTCGCCGTCTTGATGGTATCTCTAAAGCAATTGACAGGGGACGGAATGTTAGCTATTATGAAGAAATCCAGAGTGAGCTTTGGAAAGATCTCGAAAGTGTTTTGGCGCAGGAAGCTCTCCTTTGGGCTCAAAAAGCGAGATTAAATTGGAGCATATACGGTGACAGGAATACTAAACTGTTTCATGCGCACGCTAATGGGCGAAGGAAAGCGAACAGAATTGATGCTATCCGTCTTGATAATGATAATTGGTGCTATGATACCGAGCTTATTAAGTGTAAGGCTACGGAATTTTTCTATAATCTCTTCACAGAGGAAACACCTCTACGTGATAATCTGGTATGTAAAATCACTTACCCCCTATTGATGAGCTCCATTTAAGATGTTGTGGCCGTAATGTTGATGAACAGGAAATTAAAGATGCAGTCTTTAGCATGGGACCGTTAAAATCCCCGGGACTGGATGGCTTTAACGCTCTATTCTATCAGCACCAGTGGTGCACTGTTGGAAAATCTCTTGTTACTTTTGTTAAGCATCTGTTTGAGAATCCTCAAGAAATCAGGAGGGTCAACGATACTTTGCTTGTACTGATCCCAAAGAAAGACCCACCAGAGACTCTCAAAGACTTGAGACCCATTAGTCTGTGCAATGTTGTGTATAAAGTGATCACGAAGATTATGGCTAGCAGGATTAAGAACTTTATGCCACAAATTATCTCTCCAAACCAATGTGGTTTTGTCCCTGGTTGACATAGCTCAGATAACATCATTGTGGCACAAGAAGCTATCCACTCAATGCGTACAATGAAAGGGAAGAAAGGATACATGGCTATTAAGATAGATCTGGAAAAAGCTTATGACCGAGTAAACTGGCAGTTTCTTCTTAAATGTCTAAGAGAGCTATCTCTACCAGCCCACTTTATTGAGATTGTTTCTTGCTGCATCAGTACTGCTAGTATACAACTGCTCTGGAATGGGAATAGAGCAGACTCCTTCATCACCTCTAGAGGAGTGCGACAAGGGGATCCGATTTCTCCTTTTCTCTTTGTTATTTGCATGGAGAAATTGGCTCATCTCATTCAGGAAAAAATGGAAGATGGAGCCTGGAAACCGATACGGCTAACTAAGAAGGGTCTTCCTATTTCACATCTATTCTTTGCAGATGATATTATTTTATTTTCAGAAGCCTCCATTCATCAGGCAGAATTGATAAAACAGTGCCTCGATGCTTTTTGCATGTGCTCGAGCCTAAAGGTCAACATCCTGAAGACTCGTGTGTTTCTCTACAAATGTTAATCATAAACAGGTGCTCAGAACTCAGTTCCCACCTAGGCTTCACTCAAGCTGCTAATTTGGGTAAGTATCTTGGGGTTTCCCTACATCATAAAGAGAGTAAACCAAGACACCTTTAAGGAAGTTATCGACAAGGTGAAGAATCGAATGGCTAAATGGAAGACAAGCTCAATCTCACTTGCGGGCCGTGCCACCCTCATTACTTCTGTAACCACAGCCATCCCAACGCATACCATGCAGACTTCTCTCCTTACAGCTGGTTCATGCGAGAAGCTTGATAAACTCAACAGAAGCTTTCTCTGGGGCAGCACAACTGACACACATAAGATTCCTCTAGTTGCTTGGGACTCCGTCTGCAAACCGAAAACTAGGGGAGGACTCGGCTTGAGACATGCTAAGCTGCAAAACCGTGCCCATTTGATGAAGCTAGGGTGGAAACTAATCAAATGCCAGGATGACTTCTGGGTCCGGGTTGTTCGGGACAAGTACCGATGTGGGAGTGATATGATCCCAAAAAATTAATGAACATCGCTATGGTTCAAATTTGTGGTCGGGACTCAAATCAGTATGGAAGAAAGTAGAGGCAGGAATTGAAGAACTCGCGGATGGGGCTAATATAAAGTGGAAGCACGAACGGAGTGGGAACTTTTCCGTAAAATCGGCTTATAACCTCCTTGCTCAATCGGATCCAAAAGACAATGTATCATGGGAGAAGCTGTGGAAGTTAAGAGTACCACAATGGTGTAGGACTTTGATGTGGCTTGCAACTAGGAAATGCCTCCTTACTAACGCTGCGCGTCGACGTAGGGGCTTAAGTGATGATGACATTTGCCATATCTGTAAAAGAGCAGTGGAGGATACTTCACATGTCTTCCGTGACTGCTACGAAACAAAGCGACTATGGAAAAAACTGGTCCCACCTAATGCCTGGCGTCATTTCTGCTCTCTT